CCCTCTCTCTCCCTATGCTTCTATATGCCCCCATTACACATTACTAACTTTGTTTCTCCTCTCTCCCGTAGTGTGTCCTCTCTCTCTCTCCCTGTAACTTTCTGCAGGTTGCCCTGGAGCTCTATATCTGGCGCGCGCATCCCCCAGCCACATCGACCTGATCAGTGTTTGATTGTTGTGTCTTGTTGCTTTTCTTCTTTTGTGTCTCCTCTATCCACTCACCCCAACCGGTCGAGGCAGAAGGCCGCCCACCAAGAGCCGGGGTCTGTCGGAGGTTTCTTCCTCTAAAGGGAGTTTTTCCTCCCACTGTTAATAGTGATCACAGTAAGGTCTAGACCTTACTTTGTAAAGTGTCCTGAGATGACTTTTGTTGTGATTTGGCGCTATACAAATAAAATTGATTTGATTTGATTTGACTGGTGGGGCAGTCCCATGAACCCTCCACCACCCTGAATAGGGTATAGAGCTGGTCCAGTGTTCCGCGGCCAGGGCGAAAACCACATTGTTCCTCCTGAATCTGAGATTCAACTATCGGTCAAATTTTCCTCTCTAGTACCCTGGCATAGCCTTTCCTGGGGAGGCTGAGGAATGTGATCCCCCTATAGTTGGAACACACCCTCTGGTCCCCCTTCTTGAAAAGAGGGACCACCACCCCCGTCTGCCAGTCCAGAGGTACTGTCCCCACCCACCATGCGATGTTGCAGAAGTGTGTCAGCCATGAAAGCCCCACAACATCCAGAGATTTAAGGTACTCAGGGTGGATCTCATCCACCCCCAGTGCCTTGCCACCGAGAAGCTTCTCAACTACCTCTGTGATTTCAGCTTGGGTGATGGACGAGTCCACGTCCAAGCCCCCGGCCTCTGCTTCCTCGTCGGAAGGCCTGACGCTGGGGTTGAGGAGATCCTCGAAGTATTCCTTCCACCATCTGATGATGTCCCCAGTCGAGGTCAACAGCTGCCCAACTCCACTGTAAACATTTTTGTCTGGGCACTGCTTCCCCCTCCTCAGGCGCCGGACGGTTTGCCAGAATTTCTTCGAGACGGACCAATAGTCCCGCTCCATGGCCTCACCAAACTCCTCCCAGACCCGAGTTTTTGCCTCCTCAACCACCCGGGCTACAGTCCGCTTGGCCTGTCGGTACCCGTCAGCTGCCTCAGCAGTCCCACGAGCCAACCAAGCTCAAAAGGTCTCCTTCTTCAGCTTGACAGCATCCCTTACTCCAGTCTCCCTCGGGATCTGGTCAAAGCTCTGCCGGAGGCAGGAGTTGAAGATCTCCCGAACAGGGGGTTCTGCCAAACATTCCCAACAGACCCTCACAATACGTTTGGGTCTGCCGAGTCTGTCCAGCTTCCTCCCCCGCCATCGGATCCAACTCACCACCACGTGGTGATCAGTCCACAGCTCTGCCCCTCTCTTCACCTGAGTGTCCAAGACAAAGTTGATCATCGACCTCCGGCCTAGGGTGTCCTGATGCCACGTGCACTGGTGGACACCCTTATGCTTGAACATGGTGTTTGTTATGGACAAACTGTGACTAGCACAGAAGTCCAATAACAAAACACCGCTCAGGTTCAGATCGGGGGAGGTCATTCCTCCCAATCATGCCCCTCCAGGTATCACTGTCGTCACCCACGTGAGCGTTGAAGTCCTCCAGTAGAACAACGGAGTCCCCAGTCGGAGCACTTTCCAGCACCCCTCCCAGATATTCCAAGAAGGACAGGTACTTAGTACAGGGAGATTTACTGCTCTGCTCAATGTTCATGTTATTTTTGTAGCTATGACTCTTTAGAAACAAATAACCTTTTTTGAGGTGTTTTGTGATGGTCTTGCAAGTGGACCAAATGCAGCGCTTTGACTGGATGACAACATGGTGCAGTAAAAGTTTTTGTTTTTTTTGTTTTTTTTTGTTTTTCAAAATGTTTTTGTAGAGGTGACATTCCAAGTCCCAAGAACCAGAGTTGGTGTCCGAGGTGTCCAGAGATCGGGTTGTCGAGGCCCTTGACTTCGACTGCTGCCTGATCCACTGTGCACCAGCCCCTTACAAATCCTCCTGCAGGGGGTGGGCCCCCCGGC